CGGACTGACGAACCATCGCCAAGGGGTCTTCAGACTGGAACCGTCCTGTAGGGACGGGGGTGAATGAGAGGCACCTCGGAAGACCAAGAGGAACAGGCAAGTTCCTTGATAGTCAAAGGCAGCTCTCTATGACTTGGCGGCGGGGGCGGCAGCCATTGCAGTTGTCACGAAGCTGGGGCAACCCGACTAATCATGGAGCAGGAGCGGTGAATTGAACGGAGTTTTTGGAGCCGGGTGAGTGTTAGCCAACTCATAATAAGATTTTTTTTAAAAAAAAAAACCTGAAGACCCCTAGTGAGAAAACAGCGGCTAATAAGCATGGGGGAAGAAAAGAGGACATTGGAGCATATCTTTAAAGAGGAAAAAAAAATCAAATAGAAAATTGATCTTTGAACAAAACGATCTGGAAAACAATGTGGAAAATCTTAAAAATGAAAGAAACTACCCAAAGACTGATTAAAGGATCGGAAAGGAATAATTAGATCCTTTTTCTCTCCTCTTTCTTGTGAACTTCAAGAAAAATAAAAAGAGAATGGATAATAAACCTTGTAACAGAAGTGTTGTACAAACAAAAAGAAAAAGGAAAAAAGAAATGAAAAGAGCTGTTTAAATTTGGACTGGACTTCAAAATTGACTTGGTATTCTTAAAATTAAAAAGAAAAAGAGAAATTGGTTAAGATTGTTAATATGGTGAAACAAAATGGATACTTGTTAGATAACCGGAAATTGTGGATTGCAGAGAGACACAGAGGAGTAAAAAGGAACACTGGAACTTGGTTTGTGTTTTGGAAAATTGTGAACTTTACAGATAACAGCTGTGAGAACTTTTGGGGAGGACTCCTTTGTTTACAAGCGGCTTGACTTTGGGGGGGGGGGAAGTTTAAAATTGGAACAATATCAATTTAAAAAGAATAAAATGGCACAGTAAATTAGAGAAATGATTAAAGCAATGTATTTGTCATGGAAAATGGAAATAAGAGAAATAACTAATTCCCTTTGTAATGATACATGGGGAATCAAAATCTGAGGACATAAAAAATGAGAAAGAACATATGCAAGCTGACAAGGAAACAAAGAGGGAGAAGCGAGACACAGGCTGAAGAAAAAGAAGATAAAGAAAATGAGACCAAATGTGAAAATGTATCTGAATATGTGGATAGTGATAATATGTTGTATGTTATGTGTATGTCATCATGTGCAGTAATAAAACAATAAAGCTTTTTTTAAAAAAAGAAACCAAAGACGAAAACCTCCTAGAATGCATGTGGGTCAACATAAAAGACAAAAAGAATGACATGGCCATAGATGTATACTATAGGCCACCGAATCAAGCAGAAAAAATATATATCCTTTTTGCCAACCAACTCACAAACATATGTAGGAAACACACTACAATAGTAATGGGGGACTTCAATTACCCTGATATCAATTGGAAAACTAATTCTCCACCAAGTGAAAAATCAAATAGGTTCCTAACCAACCTAGCTGACAACTTTGTTGTCCAAAAGGTAGAGGAGAGAACTAGACGGACAGCCATACTGGACTTAATACTTACAAACAGAGAAGAAGTATTAGAGGGAGTTGAAACTGCAGAAACCTTGGGTGAGAGTGATCATGTCATACTAAAATTCAACATAACACAAACACAAGTAGTAGAACAAAATGATACCAGTGTCTTAGATTTTAAAAGAGCTGATTTTAATGAACTCAGAGAGAACTTGGGAAAGATTCTTTGGATAAAAATCCTAAAGGAGAAAACAACTCAAAAATCTTGGGAAACCCTGAAAAATACGATCATAAAAGCCCAGACCAGCACAATACCACTGAGAAAGAAAAACAAGAAATCCAAGAAGAAACCAGCATGGCTACACAAAGATCTCTCTGACAAATTAAAAGACAAAAAGGACAAGTACAAAAAATGGAAAGAGGTACACATAACTAAGGCAGGATATCAGCAGATAGCCAGAATCTGCAAAGACGAAGTCAGAAAAGTAAAGGCTCAGAATGAACAAAGACTTGCAACAAAAGTCAAAGATAACAAAAACAGTTTTTTCCAACACATAAATAACAAGAAAAGGTCCACTAAAGAGAGAAGACGGCAAGGAAGTAACAAGCAATAGAGAGAAAGCAGAGCTGCTTAACTTTGCACCGGTCCTCACACAAAAAGAAACTGTAGTCCAACCTACCAGAAACATAAGTGTAAAAAACAGACTGGAAATAAAAGTTAAAATAAGCAAAAAAATAGTAAGAGAACATCTGTCTGATCTTGATGAATACAAATCACCAGGACCTGATGGATTACATCCCAGAGTTCTAAAGGAGCTGGCAGATGTCATCTCAGAACCATTGCACCACATATTTCAAAAATCCTGGTACACCAGGGAACTACCAGAGGACTGGAAAAGAGCTGATGTGGTTCCCATCTTCAAAAAAGGAAAAAACAAAAAACAAACCAGATGCAGGAAACTATAGACCAATCAGCCTAACATCAATACCCAGGAAGATACTGGAAAAGATAATAAAAAAACAGATCTTCCAACACCTAGAAACAAGTAAAGTAATAACTAGCAGTCAGCACGGGTTTGTTAAAAACAGATCATGCCAAACCAATCTTATTTCATTCTTCAACATAGTGAAGTGAAATACTGTTGACATAATATACTTAGACTTCAGCAAGGCATTTGACAAAGTAGACCACAACCTACTTCTTCGTAAGCTAGAAAAAAAGTGGGATAGATAGCTTCACCACCAGATGGATTTGTAACTGGCTGACAAACCATACTCAACGAGTAGTCCTTAATGGGTGGGGTGCCACAAGGTTCTATCTTAGGCCCAATACTCTTCAATATTTTCATAAACGACTTAGATGAGGGAATAGAAGGGGAACTCACCAAATTTGCAGATGATATACTAAGCTAGCAGGAATAGCTAACACTCTAGAAGATGGGCTCAAGATCCAGATGGATCTTGACAGACTTGAAAACCGGGGCCTATCGAACAAAATGAAATTCAGTGTAGAGAAGAGTAAGACCACACCTAGAGTCCTGCATCCAGTTTTGGTCACCACACTATAACAAAGATGTTGAGACTCTAGAAAAAGTGCAGAGGAGAGCAACCAGGATGATTAGGGGACTGGAGAACGACTACATGAACCGAGCATGGCTAGTCCAGTGAAGAGAAGGACCAGGGGAGATGAGAGTATCTTCCAATATTTGAGGGGCTGCCACAGAGAGGAAGGGGTCAAGCTATTTGCCAAAGCACCTGAAGGCCAGGAAAGGAATAATGGATGGAAACTGAACAAGGAGACCTGGAACCTGGAACCTGAACCTGGAAATATGGAGAAATTTCCTGACAGGGAGAACAATCAACCCATGGAACAGAAGTTGCCTTTGGAAGTTGTGGGAGCTTCATCCCTGGAGGCTTTCAAGAAAAAATTGGACTGCCATTTGTCAGAAATGGTATATAGGGAATCCTGCTTGAGAGGGGGGGTGTTGGACTAGATGACCTATAACGTCCCTTCCAACTCTGTTCATATCTATTGGAATGGAATGATGGGCAACTGCTTGCTGGGACGTCAAGAAGCAAAAAAAAAAAAAAAACAACAAAAAAAAGAGTTAGGGGTGGGGGGCACCGTGTTGCGGTGGTTCTCCTCCTTTCTCTCTGATCGGTCGCAGTCTGTGTTGACAGGGGGGCAGAGGTCGACCCCGAGGCCCCTTGTATGTGGGGTGCCACAGGGGTCGGTTCTCTCACCCCTTCTGTTCAACATTTATGTGAAGCCGCTGGGTGAGATCATCCGTGGTTTTGGGGTGAAGTATCATCAGTATGCTGATGATACTCAGCTGTACATCTCCACCCCAGGCCACCCCAACGATGCCCTTAAAGTGATGTCCCAGTGCCTGGAGGCTGTACGGATCTGGATGGGGAGGAACAGACTCAGGCTCAACCCATCCAAGACCGAGTGGCTGTGGTTTCCGACGTCCCGATATAGTCAATTGGTGCCATCACTGACTATTGGGGATGAGTCATTGCCCCCCACGGAGAGGGTTCGCAACTTAGGCGTCCTCTTGGACTCACGGCTGTCTTTAGAAGAACACATGACGGCTGTGGCCGGGAGGTCTTTTTATCAGGTTCGCCTGATTCGCCAGTTGCGTCCCTTTCTGGATCGGGACTCGTTAAAAACGGTCACTCATGCCCTCGTCACTTCTCGCCTGGACTACTGTAATGCTCTCTACATGGGGCTCCCCTTGAGGAGCACCCGGAGGCTCCAGCTGGTCCAGAATGCGGCCGCGTGGGTAGTTAGGGGAGCAGCATGGCGCTCCCATGTGGCTCCCCTCCTGCGCGAGCTGCACTGGCTCCCTGTGGTCTTCCGGGTGCGCTTCAAGGTCTTAGTTACCACCTTTAGAGCGCTCCATGGCTTAGGACCGGGGTACTTACGAGACCGCCTTCTGCCACCAATAGCCTCTCACCGCCCAGTACGCTCCCATAGAGAGGGGCTTCTCAGGGTGCCGTCAGCCAAACAATGTCGACTGGTGGCCCCCAGGGGGAGAGCCTTTTCTGTGAGGGCACCCACCATCTGGAACGAGCTCCCCCCAGAGATACAGAGGATCCCGGATCTGTGCACTTTCCGCCGTGCCCTCAAAACATTCCTGTTTCAGCAGGCCGGCCTGGCCTAACTTTCCCTTTATATTGCTTTTTGATTTTATTTTAAACTGGGATGTCTTGAATTATCTAGGACCAGAATGTTTAGTATATTTTAATTGGTTTTTTATTATTAACGTTTGTATTACATGTATTTTTATCGTTCGCTGTTCATCGCCCTGAGTCCCTTAGGAGTAGGGCGGTATATAAATTTAATAAATAAATAAATAAATAATAAATAACATTCCTCAAGGTGCAATTTGTCTGAGTTTGAAAGTTTGAACTACTTCTCTGGAAGGAGAAGATGCAGCAATTGAAATACTAATATTATGGATTGAAACAATTAGAAGAGATTAAAAAACTATGTTATTATAAATGGTTTAATGAAAATTTGGGAAAATACAGGAACAGATTTAAGCCTGGATTGTCATAATTGGCTGCAACATTTTAAAGTTGTAGAGTAAGATTAATCGTTGGACGCTTCATAATTTGTATAGATTTCAAGATTTGGGCGTCAATAAAACCAGAATGAAATCTTATGAGAAGATGACTCAAGAATGGACTGAAACCCCTCACTGATTCCAGCATTCACACACCAGCATGGCAGCACTTAATGAAATGCTTATTCAGGGGTCTTATTTTCATTATTATTAATTTGAATGTATTAGCCAGTGAGTCCAAGATAATAGAATAATCTTAATAGAATTCAGAATGTTTTAATACAAGAGTCTAAATATTAGAATTTAATTATAAATTATGGATAAAATTTTATTCTGAAGCTGAACAAGTTAAAGTTTGCGTGATTAAACAAATGCATAAAATGATTTGATATACAACAATGAGAATCTCAATAGTAAAGTAATATTAACTTTACTTCAAATAGCATGCTTAAAATTTTGGTTTAAATATTTTTTCATTGAGATATTATTTGATTACAATAGTTAAAATGGCTCCCAATTTTTTAAAATGTATTGGAAACACGATAAAGAATTTTTCAGCTGAAAAAAGTCAACAGTTTTGGAAAGGAAGATATCTTAAGATGCAACACTTGTCTCGCACTCCATCTACTTTATTGCCAAATTCCGTAACATTTACTGAGTTAACTTTATTTACGTTGTCAATATGTGAAATACTGAAAACTTGCAAAAAACCAAACCAGCCCAATGTTTCCCCAAAGACTGGTGGGTGGCCTTGGGGAAGCCACGCGGGCGGGTGAAAGCGCTTTCATGGGGCCAGTAGAGTTGGACAACCACTTCTTGACTGTAACATTCAGAAAAACTCAGGGTAGGGTCTGTCTTGATTGCCTTATTATTCCCATCTGTTATTAGGTTGCTGCTGGTTGTTGCACACTCTCAGTTACACCTTCATTTACAACAGTTCATTTAGTGACCATTCAAACTTACAATAGCACTGAAAAATGTGACTTATGACCTTTTTTCACACTTACGAGCATTGCAGCATCCCCAGGGTCAGAGGACCAAAATTCAGGTGCTAGGTTCCTATTTATGACGGTTGCAGTGTCTTGAAGTCACGTGATCCCCTTTTGCGACCTTCTGAGAAGCAAAGTCAATGGGGAAGCCAGATTCACTTAACAACTGTGTTACTAACATAACAAATGCAATGATTCACTTAACAACCGTGCCAAGAAAAGTTGTAAAATGGGGCAAAACTCACTTAACAAATGTTTCACTTAGCAACATAAATGTTGGGCTCAATTGTGGTGGTAACTCTGATTTGCATTATGGAATTTATGTTGAAAAGAAAATAGGATTCTAAGGGGTGGTTGTGAAAGAAAACAGGCTTACTTTAAAAAGAACATTGGCTGCTGTTGGCCTTGGGATATTTTTTAGTGGATGATGGCACAACTCTAGGACCCATGTGGAAGACGGTGCTTCTGACCAGTGGTGGGTTTCGGCTGTTCGCCCTGGTTTGGGCGAACCAGTAGTGGTGGCAGTGGGAGGCTCCACCCACCCACCCGGACATCATCACGGATGCTCTGCGCAGGTGCCGAAGCGCTTACAGTTCCGAACCGGCTGCGAAGGTAAATGGAGCCCACTGCTGCTTCTGAGCTTGTGCACCTGAGTCATTGCAAACCATCTTCCAGGCAGACTCCAATCCTGGAAGGAGCTGCTCCTCCCGTAACAGACTCCTCCTTGCTTTCTTCCATGCAACACATGATTGTTTGGACTGATTGCTTTCTCGAAGGTTGGTGGTGAGGGTGATGAGGGTGGTGTGAGCATCCGCAGGCAGCCCTGTCAGGCATGGGTGGTTTTATCTGCCTCCTCCGTGCTCAGAGCTTCCACGACCTGGAAGCCATCATGATGTTCCTCAGGCACCTATGCGAGACCAAAAGGAGAGGGACTGAGAAAAGGGCCCCCCCATTTTTTTCTGACCTCCATGCTGATGCACGATGCTCTCAGGTAGCCTGCAAGCCTTCAAGTTCTTTGGATTCCAGTTTTTGGGGGGAAAGGAAGGGCCCCAAAGGAAAGGTTGCCGGAACCAGAACCAGGATGTCTTTGGCCCTCCAGAGGTTGAGCCGACCCTTCCACCTAACGTCTCAACCTCAGCAGGACCTGAGGTCTCCCACCCAGCCATTCTGCATGTCTACCATTTTTCCTTTCTCTACTAACTTGAATTGTGGGTCTGTGTTTGCACACAAATTGAGATTAAGAAAAGAATAGGTATAAGCAAAGCTTATTCACATTCTGTTCCTGCAATGAGCTCAGACTATTTTTTTTTTAAAATTTGATTTATATGCCGCCCTTCTCCGGAGACTCAGGGCGGCTTACAGTGCATTAAGCAATAGCCTTCATCCTTTTGTATATTTATACAAAGTCAGCTTATTGCCCCCACAAATTTACCTACCTTAGAAAGGATGGAAAGCTGAGTCAACCTTGAGCCTGGCGAGATTCGATCTTACTTTAATTGCAGACAGCTGGTGTTAAATTACAGTGCTTCTGTCTGTTGAGCTAAACCAGGCTCCTATGAACAGAATCACAATTTTCCCAGTCTCATTCTAGTTTAGTCTAGCATGTTGTGTGAACTGAGCTCCTGTGTTTCATTCTAGGATAGCTGGTGCTGGCTAAGCTACTTGGACTGGGATTGGGAGGGGCGTTTGTCCCTTCCACTGAGGTCCCAGAGGAAAGGCAGGCTATAAAACTCAATCAATTGGCCCCCAGTCTCAGGGGAATCCGCGACATCTGATGCGGGTTAAACGGCAGCCGGCTTTTACCCCAAGGAAGCCTTCAAATACCTCCCAATAGATTTGATCCTCGAAGCAGAGAGCATCTGGGGGCATTGCAAGGCTTCGCATCTTCAGGATGGCCCCTGAAAAAAAGAAGGAGTAGGGGATCAGCACCGCAGTTGGAGGGGAGGGGGCTTTCCTGGAAGTCCCACTTCAAAATGGGATTGGCCCACCGATTTATGCCAGCAAGGGCCAAGTGCAGACCCTGTCAGTCCAAGAACTTGGCTGGGGGGTCCAGAAGAAGAGCCTTTTCTTTTGTGGCTTCTGTCTTTTGGAACATCAGCCCACTCAAGGTGAGATGCACCCCACCCTCTCAGCCTCCCAAAATTGCCTTAAAACCTGCCTCTGATTTTGGCCCTCCCGGGAGTGAACCCTGGCTAGTGGACTCCCACCTCCATCCCATCCAGGTATTGCTTCCTACTTTACCCAATTTTTGTTAATGTTACGGGGTTTATGGTTTTTATACTCTTGTTTTTATGTTTGAAAGCTGCCCAGATGATAGTGAGATGGGTGGCATATACATTTCATGAATAAATAGAAATGTCAGGGCTGCTTCTCAAGCCCCTTGCAGAGCTTCAGGTCTGGGGCCCGCATCTCACTCCCTTCCGAGGTTGCACGAGACTCCCAAGCAGAAAAACTTCCCTGTGTGTGAAAAGAGGGGAAAGAGCTGCAGGATTGCTTGCCTCCCCCCCACACTCACCCACCAGGCTGCCACCGACCATGGCCATGCCCAGGGAGACCAGCAGGCCCAGCAACTGGAAGAGGCTCTGTCTGATGGGAGTCCGCTGCCCAGAGGCCACAAGGGGGAAGACGTCAGCCATTCTGCAGGAGCAAGACGATCCCAGTGAGCCAGCACAGCCTGGCAGATCCCAACCACCTGGGCAAAGCTTCTTTTGAGAAGACTGTCCCTCTCAGTCCTAAACCTCTGCCTCCCCCCCCCACCAGTGGCACTCACCCCTCTCCATAGGCATCCGGGGTTGCCAGAGCAGCCACCAGAGCACCAAGGAGGGCACCGAGCAATCCGGGCAACCCATGCAGGTTGTGTATTCCGCAGGTATCCTGGATTTTCAGCCTGGCAGTCAGGATGGGCTGGGCAAGAGAGAGAAAGAAGTCCCTGCACTTTGGGCATGGCCTCTGGGCCATGCTGAGAACTGGCCCTCCTTCTCGCCTGGCTGGCACCCTGCCCACCCTTCTGGACTCTGCTGCTGAATCGGCTCCTTTAGGAAGACAAGGCTCCTGCAGGAGACCCCAAGGGGCTGTAGGCAAAGCTCGACTTGGGCATTTGGCCTACCGTGAGGAACTTGAAGCCGAGGGTGGCCACCAGGCCAGCCACACACCCAGCGATCAGGGCCCCAAATGGAGTCAGCGCCATCTCAGCCGAAGTGCCAACGATCACTCCGCCAGCTAGGGTGGCATTCTGGATGTGAACCTGGAGGTGGGGGGGGGGGGGGGGGGCAGAGAGAAGAAAGTGACCCAGGAATTGGGGGCAGGAATTCCAATTTCATTTTGCATACATTTAACTTAAAATTAAATTCCATTCAATTAATGATCAAATACAGTATTAAAAAAAATAAAGTGGGAAAATAGGAGGCAGGAGTACTACAAATTCCTGTCTGGAATTTTATACATATATATAAAGGTGGAATAAAATAATGATGATGCTCCCTGTAGTTAATGGCCCCTTGCCTCAACTGGGATTTGGAGGCAACATTTGGAGGGGCTCAGAAGCCCACCCTGGGCCTGCCACAAACCTGGCCTAGGATTTCTGCAATGGCTCCATTGAGTGACCCGCAGAAAACATCAGTGAGTGTAATGGAAGAGCTCCCCCCTCCCAGCTTTTAAACCAGAGAAGCTGCTGCAGAATCTGACAAAGCGAGGCACCAAATCCTGAAGCGAGGCTTCAGTGATTTTGTAGTCCTACCTCCCAGCTTCTGGGGGTGCAAACCAGACCCTTCCTCCGGGAGCAGCAGACCCTCTCCGGAGCTGCCTGGGGACGAGAGCAGGGGCTGCCTCACCATGTCCAGCCGGCCTCCGCGGTTCACCAGGGTGGAGATGGCAAAGGCGGTGAGGGTGCTGGATGCCAGGGAGAAGTAGGTGTTCATCACCGTCCGTTGCTGGTCGTCCCCGTGGGCGGTCACCGCCGAGTTGAAGCTGGGCCAGAAGACCCACAGGAAGAGCGTGCCTGCCAGGGACACAGGGAGGCATGATTTCTGTGCCCCCCCCTTTCAAAAGGAACAAAGCAGCCCTTCCGCTTAAGTCTCCTCCGGTTTCCAAGAGAGGCTCACAGGGATGGGCAGGGATGGCCGTGGGCAACCATAAGGCCTCCCTCGGATTTTTGTTGGACAATTACTAAAAATCAGCAATATTTTTTAATGGAGTCTACATAGACACTGTAACCTGACCCCCAAGCAAGGTTGAAAGATAATTCTAAGCAAAGCTAGAAAGCTCCAGCCGCTTCTACCAAACCCATAAAGAGCCCCGCTTAGCCCCGCCCCCTTGGCCCCCTTGCTCCACCCTCTGGAGCCTCTCCAGATTCAGCTTCTCTCCTAAAGGCGCAAAGCCCAGCTGCCCCTTTGGGAGCCTCACCAATCATAGCAAAGAGGTCCGAGTGGTAGGCAGAGCCTTCCCGCTGCCGGCTCTTGTCCAGGTGGGGTCGGAAAAGAACACGGGACACCATCAGCCCGAAGTAAGCCCCGAAAGTATGGATGGTCATAGAGCCCCCGGCGTCCTTCACCTGAGCCACATGGGGGAAACACTGCAGGAAGGCGGCTTCTACAGCGCTGGACCACCAGATAGGTGGCTAGCATAGTTTTCAGCACCAACAACTTTGTAAAGTCTTTTAAAATCCTCTACCTCTTTCAAAGCACCTCCCAGGATTGTAATCAATCTTTATTCCCACAATTCTCTATTCGGAGATATGTTAATTCATTTATTTATTTCAATTATTTATGGAGCTGTCCATATCACAGCAATGGCTCTCAGTGCAACCCATGATCCCCTGGTTAAAAAAAAGGCACCTCAGAAACCAAAAGCCACATCCCTACAGAGCCCACCAAACCTCTTGAGCCAAATGTCTGGGCAAATGAAAAGGTCCAGGCTAAGAGGGCCTATTGAGGGAGCATCAGGTATGAAGACTGGAGTCTGCCTGATGCTTGGAAGGAGGCCATCCTGGGCCCCAGGCACAGGGAAATAGGTCAGAAGACACAGGAGTACCAAGAGACCCCCTGCAGCTCCGGGCCACTCCCTTTCACTGGGTAACACGGGTGGGTGGGGGAGAGGGAGATGTTCTTTGGGGCTGAGGATCATTGTCACAAGTCAAGGACAGGAAGCCAAAGCTCTGCCAATTGTGAAGCTAGGAATGGGTTCATACAACACTCAAAAGGATGATATTGCAATCAGTGGAGGGAGGGGCGGATATGGGAATCTGGAGTGTTGCACTTTATGTAACTAACTGTGATGGGATCTGGTGCTGAGTTGCAAGATGGAGGAGTAAAGAGTAACATCAGCCTTGAATCGTTCCTGTGGTGCAGAATGGCCATACCTAATTCTTTGTAGCATGTATCAGAGAATTACACAGAAAGTGCTTTAGTCCAGCAAGATTCTGTCTATTTATGTCAAAAAGCAGTAAAGAAACTGCTTTCAAAATTTCCTGCGTCATTCTTGGTTTCCCATGCCTGACATATTACATAACCTGGGTTCAGGGTCTAAATGGTTGTGTGAACCCAGCTTCTGTGTGACTTTGGATTACAATCTCTTGCCCTGTGCTCATCCCATCCCAAGGGGTGAGGGATAAGCCCCCCACAGGGAGCAATTCACCTGAAGGAGGCTGAGCAAGACATACTCGTTGATACCAAAGAGGGTGACTTCCAGCCCGGCCATCAGCAGCAACTGAACGGGGCTCGTCTTGCCCAGCAGCGCCCCAAAGGAAATGAGGATGGACCCGGCGCAGAAGTCCGCGTTGATCATGCTGGCAAGAAGACAGAAGTGGGGGGAGAGAAAGGGCTAGCAGGAGATTTCCCTTCTCCTCCATTCATCTCGGCTGTGTTTAAATAAGGATTTCCAAAGAGCCTGTGCTTAAAATGCTTGAAACCACCACCACCACCTACGGGGAGGTTGCAGGGTGGAGAAAGAGTGGCTCCCCCAGCCTGTCAGCTCAAAGTCTCCCTCCCTGCAGGAGAAAATGCCACCTTCCTAGGCAAAAGGTGACTCAAGGCTGCCCAGGCTAAGCTGGAGACGAAGGCAACGATAGGACAGGCTGAAGCCAGAGGCTGCCAGGGTGGGCAGTGCCAGCTTTGGGTCCTGTGGGGAGGAGCAGGACGCGGCAGGAGAATCTGAGGCTGCAGGTTTGCCTTGCTCAGCACTGGGGAAGCACAGAGAGACTGACAGATGCACAGGATCCCTCCCCACAGCCCTACTCCTGGCTGAAGCCCCTCACGCTCTTAAAGTCCAGTCGGGGGCAGCTCTGAGATCAAGATGGCAGGCAATGGGCAGGGCAAAAGGGCTTTGAATCCAACCTCTGAGTTACCATCTACTATCAACTGGAGCAGTGATGGCAAACCTTTTCGGCACCTAGTGCCCAAACTGGAAAGTGTTTGTGTGCGAACGCTGGAAACCGATCAGCTGGGTTTGGGTTTCCGGCGCGTGCCAGCAGGTCTTGGGATTTCTGGCACTCCAGCGTGCACAAAAACCAGCTGGTCGGCACGCATGTGCATGCCGGAAACCAGAAGAGCAGCTGGCAGAGGTGCACGTGCCCACAGAGAGGGCTCTGCGTGCCATCTCTGGCACACATGCTATAGGTTCGCCATCACAAAACTAGAGGTTTCAGGGAGTCCCTTCATGAGCTGCTGACTGCCTCCACATCTCTTACTAAGCTTGCTTGATTTTGATGTTGGTTGCTAGTGCCACACCTTAATTGCATTGGTGTCTGCAAGGTGGTCAGAAAAAATCAGATGTGGAGCTTTGGTGGCACACTTGATTTTTTTTTTAACCACACCCTGCAGTTACTCTGACCGCCAGTTTGTGTCTGGAGAGGGAGAGTTCTTCAAGTCAACAAGACTCGAAGGCTGAGTTGAGTGACCCAACTGCTGAGGGATGTGCCAGCCCTCACTCAGCTCCATCTTCTGCTGCCTCTGCTTAAGCTAAAGCCACCTCTTTTGGGGGCTCAGGGATGCTCGCTTGCTCACCTTTCTATTCCCACATGGATTTTGCCATTGTGAAAGGCGTGGAAAAATCCCTGGATGAGGATAGACCACTGGAGGGCAAAGGCGGCGATCAGGAAATTGAAAGCCACCCCACCGAAGCTGTAGCGTTTCAGGAAGGTCATCAGGAAGCCAAAGCCAAGGAAAACCATGACGTGGACGTCTTGGAAGCCTGCAGGAGGGGAAGGGTCAGCAGGGGACGGAAAGAAAGGCTCCAGGGTCTCCATGCTGTGGGGCTGCCAGCACTGGCTGAGCCTGGTCCGACAAGTTAAACTGCTCCCTGACTTCCAGCTAATCACCTGCTCAACTTTACCTCTTCAGCTGGGCTCCAAGGTTGAAATGGACACGGTGGCAGCTGCATAATTGGGTTCAAAAAGTGACCTCATTAGATCGGGCTGATAAGAGTGAATGTGTGTATCAGCTGTACGGCAGAGCCTGTAAATGGCTCAGCAGGTGAGGTGGTGCTGCAGCTGCTCTTGGCCGGCTGAGCACAGCCCCATCTCAGGGGTGCTGTTGCTGGAGTGGGGGGTAGTAGTTTTGGCCTATGAGATGGGACGGCTCCTCCTAGGTTGAACCCTAAACCCGGCTTACAAGCAATCAGATTTTAGAATTCCTAATACATTCAGGAATTAGCAATGGCTGAGGCCAAACTATCGATGGTCTGAAGGAAATGAGGTTTTGTTTAGGTAGAGCAGCGTTTCTCAACCTTGGGAACTTGAAGATGTGTGGACTTCAGCTCCCAGAATGCCGCAGGCAACATGCCTGGCTGGGGAATTCTGGAGCCGAAGTCCACAGATCTTGGTTGCCAAGATTAAGAAACCAGGGTGCCTCCTCACCACTTGCATCTCTGCTGCTCAGGGCCGGACTGCCTTCCAGGGGAAGAGCTGGGTGTCCTGGAGGACAATTAGGGGAGATGGCGGTGCAGAGGGCAGCAGCTGCGGATTGAAAAGAAAAGTGCTGATGGTTGCAAAAGGGACAAATGGCCAAGAGGCTCAAGTGTGTCCTCAACAAGAAATGGACTGGGGCTCTTAAGGAATGGGAAGAAGGAAGTGGAGGAGGAGAATTCTTTTTCTGTCTCCCAAACTAGCTCTCAAACAAATGTTTGCTTAAACACCAGCTAATCAGCTCCTGGATCTTTTCCCCACAAGATCTGCTGTGGGGGCTGGTTAAATCTGTGGAAGATGTCTTGCAGGTGCAGTGTGGGGAAGGGGCAGCCTCTCTCTGGCTCTCGCTGCCCACCAGGAGAAGCAAAACCTCCCACCAGACGGACGGATGGACAGCGGAAGCTGGACCCAACAGGGCTATTTGGCATACCTGGGCACCCGGAGCCCCAGGGACAGACCCAGACCCAGAGGGGAAAAGAGTGTCGTGTCCTTCTGGGAGGGGCTGGGTAGGACCAGCTGGATTCCCAGCTAGGAAGAACGGATCCAGCTAGACCCAAGACTGGCCTAGGCATGCTGGGCTGGGACCACAAGCTCTGGGACCCCTATGGCTGTCTGCCCACTTCTGCCGAAAAAGGCAAAGGTGGGTGTGTTGGGGGGGGGATCAGCTTCTCAGCCACCCATTTTGTGAGTGTGCTCGTGACCTGATCAAATCATGGCTCTGTTGGCCTCTGGGAATCTTGTTGCTCGCTAATGCTGGAGATCCTAAGGCAGCTTCTCTGTCTCAGTCTTTCCTTCCTGCAGGGCCTTTACAAAAATGGTGCAACTGAATCAAGATTTAGCTGTTTTTAAAAAAGTGCATAAACACATCCATAAACTGTGGTTTGCTAGATAGTCAGTCTTGGGAACCTCCCCCAAAGTTAAGCCAGCATATGGGTGGAGACCACCAGGTGGGACTGGGAAGTTGTGATATTCGTCTGGAGGAAATCAAAGGCAAACAAGAAGCAAACAAGGACTTAATTAGGTTCTGCACTCAAAAATACCATTCAAAAAGCATCTTGAGGAAATGGTAACTTCCACAATTGCCTGGGGCAGGAGGATAATTGATCACAGATGCTGCTTTGGACTTACAGAGAATAAGAAGGGATCTTATCCAGAAACCAAACTGAAGCAAGAAGTCTGGAAAGTATTTGGGGGAGCATTTGGGGGAGGGTCCTGGCTCATCGTAGGCAGGAGGGGCGCCATGCCACAGATTTCGGAAAGAGGGGCGTTTTCCTGGTCCCTCGTTCCTCCCGTGCTCCCAGGGGCCTCTCTGGTTGGACCTGGCACCCTGGCAGGAGGGCATCTCTTGCGTGGGAGATACTCACTTGGGTAGCGTGGGTAGAATTCGTTGTCCAGAAGGCCTTTGTTGTGCAACTGCATCTCCTCGTGCCACAGCCGGGGGCTGGTGTGGCTGTCATACTGGATGAAAAAGGCGAACAGGAGGACCGTGGCCAGCTGCAGGAGGGCACAGAGCAGGGGCAGCTTCAATCTCAGGTTGGTGGAGTGGCCTGACATGGTGGGAGAGCCGTGCAGAGGAGAACCAGCTGGGAGTGCACCAGGAAGAGCAGCCACCGAGCGAGCGAATGCCCTGCTTTCCTGGGCACTCTTTGGAGGAGGAGTGGGGGGAGGCACCCTCCACGGCTGTTTGCTCACTGCTCACCCTGGCCGGGAGCCACCTGCTGTGAGGCGGGGCTGGTTGGGGAAGTGGCAGGAGCGTCCCGCCAGGTGAGGGAAAGCTGGCTTTGGCACCGTCTGTCTGCAAAAAGGCGAAGGAAGCAGGTTGGGCTTGGCATCCCAGTCGTGCGATTGGGGGACTCCCTCTTTGAACCCAAGTGGTCAGGACTTCATCTGCAGGAAGGTTGTCCCTGCACAAAGACACCTCCCCAATCTGGATTGTGCCAATTGCTCCCCATGGCTTCCCTCTCCTGGTGGCCCTGGGTGTTTTGTCAGGGAGGAGCAGGGCAGGAGGCTGCCAAGAGAAAAGGCCTAGAGCCCTTTCCAAAAAACAGCCCCAGTTGTTCATGGGGAGAAAACAACCACAAAGGCTTCCCTTTGAGAGAAGAGGAGGGGGCTGGCCAAGGAGCCCTTCCTTCGCTGCCCCCCCCACCGAACAGCCACCATGCATCATTCTGACATTAGTGTGGTCCCTGGTCCCCACAATGGCCTCGGTTTTCACCCATGTTGCCAGGTGGGAAGGCTCCAATGAGACTCTGCCAACCTCCCGCAGTGCCAGCCATGTCAGCCAGGGAGTCCCCCCATCCTCAGAGGGGGCAGCCAAGATTTGGGCTTTGACTGCAACAGGTGGGGCTCCTTCACGCCCCCAGCAGCCTCTCCTGCTTTGCCGAGCAGGTCAGATCCTGTGGGTCTACACATGGCAGAGGGCCCTGGGGACATTGGTCCCTTTGGCTCCCTCACCACTGATCCCCAGACCTTTTCCTTGCTCCCATAGTGGGCAGATGCCGACTTTTGCCCTAGATTGGAAAGCAAAGGGCATCCAAGTAAAAGAAACGTGTTACTCAGTTAATCATTAAGTGTGCCTCTGGGGTCTGTTTATCTTTATTCCTCATCTGTGACAGGTTGTTTCAAGGTTCTGCAATCTCTCCTTGTGGTGGGCTCTGCTCCTGGGACGCCTGAGGGCCTTAGCACCCGTCCGGAGTTCCAGCCACCAGGCCCTGGGCAGAGCCTGGCGGGGCTAAGTGGTTCCCAATGGATTCACTGCATGGGAGAAGCCAAGGGAGGGGGCAGGAAGCCCCTCTTCACAGGTATCCTACTCATGTGACATGCCAGATAGTGAAGTGGGGGTGGGGGAGGAATCTGGCAGAGGAGGCCGAGGGATCTCTCTGCATTCCTAGAGTCCACGCCAGGGTCCACTTTGCAGGGGATTCCAAGGGCCCATTATTGATCCTACATCCATGTTGGCTTAAACCTACTGCCCTTCCTGCAAATTGAGGGAAGCTTTGCTCATCCTTTAAGCCTTGAAGTGGTTGTTGAATGTTTGCATAACCCCATCTTTGCCCCCCCCAAGTCAGCGGGTCTCCAGTGGCCCATCTCAGAGTTTTGAGCCAGAGTTTCTCAGGTCAAGAAGGTCCAATTTCATTGTGTTAGCTCTTCAGTCAAAGCAATTAATAAGCACAAAATACCAAGGTGGCACGTGGCTCAGCTGGGATCATCAGAGGCTTTTCAAAGCATTTTTTTCTGCAATCTCTTGGCCAAAGAGGTGGTAAAAAAAATGCTTTGAAAAGTCTCTGAGGATCCCAGCTGAGTTCCCTGATTGGCATAGAGGCATTTTTTAAAAAGCCTCTCTGACCATCCCAGCTGAGTTCCTGATCGGCAGAGAGGCTTTTCAAAGCATTAGAAAAAATGCTTTGAAAAGTTAAAAAAAAAAAAAAGTTGGCCACACCCACCCAGTTACATTACCCCCCCCACCAAGCCACGCCCACAGAACCGGTAGTAACAGATTTTACATTTCACCCCTGTTCCAAAGTCCAGGAATCTTCTTTTCTCAATGGAGGAAAGGCTGACAAAACCGCTTCCAAATAAAGTATTTGCAGAGTCCCAAAGGCATGAAAAGAAAAAGTTTGTTTTGCTTCTCAAATGTGGCACACAGGTTTCTTTCCTTCCCATTTAACTTCCCAACTCTTTATAAATATTGCTGAGATCGAAACCATTAAACACTCCTTAATTGGAATAGTCTAAAGCTCCCTGGCCCCATTTCTGCTTGGGGGTGGCTGACGCCACATATTTGAGGCCAGAGAGTTGTATGGAACTAAGAAAGGTGACAGACACATGTAGAAATGTGGGAGAAAATTCCATCTGTGTTTACTATGATTACAATTATGCACATCAAATTCTATTTAGAAAGAGTCTGCAAAGTTTAAATTCTTCCCTACTTTCCTCAGATTCAACATTTTCAATACACCTGAGCTGAGAAAGAAGCTTAGCCTGGACCCCAGATGGGCTTCCTTTCTACATCTGGACAAGCCAGTTTCTCCAGGCAGAAGAGGAAAAATGGGAGGCTTTAACTTAGTGGAAACACCTGTAGCAGTTTAACAACTGCTTCTCATTAAGTGGACCACCTTTGCCAAACGCTGTTTAAGAATTTAGGCAGAGGACATCCAAGCAAGATATTGTGAAAAGAAACCTCCGCTCTCTGGACCGGCCTTATTAAGCTCCTCTTGAAAAAAGACGAGATTCAAAGGAAGTCCTTCCAGGGCCTTTGCAGGAAGTGGGCATAAGGACAGGGTCTTCTTTCTGCCATCGGAATGCCAGCCCTGCCTTTGCTGGCTGTGACATCTTTCCAAGAGTGTGACTGTCCCACAATCCCCACGATGGGGAAGGCCTGGCCCTCGTGCTTCTTTCAATGCTCCTGATCTCCGAGGCTCTCACCAAGGCTTCCAACCTGGGCAAGATCCAGCGGGAAGGGAGCGAGCAAAGAGCTGGCGAATAGGTTGACACAAGTGTCCTCGGAAAGTCCAGGGCAACAAGCCACCTTTTAGCCAGGTATTCCCCTGGGCAAACCTGGGCTGAAGTGAGCAGGAAAGAGAGGCGGTTTCTGATCTATCGTGTGGCAGTCACTATGGAGACCATGAGGCTGCCTTTTGCAGAGCAGGAACCCATCAGATGCACAGCAGCAGATGATGGACTCTCACACAAGCAACGGTTTGTTCACACTGGAGAGAACAAAACGTCCCAGGCCTTGGTGCATCGTCACATGCAGCCAGGACTATGCAACAATGGCCCGATTCTCCTAGCTCCACATAGAGGGGGTGGCATGGAGAGTGGCATCCTTCCTGCCTTGTCCCCTTTTCAAGGGACCCTAACCCAGTATACACACTTGCTATTCCTCATGGCTTTTTCTTATCTGGAACAGTGAAGGTAGCCATGGTCTTTAGGTCCAGGAATTTTGCTACATTTCCTGCTGGAGTCCGGTCACAGAGGATGCAGCCTGGTCTGAAGGGGCATTCAGAGCCTTGAGCTGGAGCCTTGAGTCTTTCTTCTGCTGGCCACTGTCACCCCTTCAACAGACAAGGAACCAAAGAATGAATTCTATCACTACCTATATTGGATGATTAAAATACAGTAACTGAATCTTGCAAGCCTGAAAGCTTCTCTCCCTCATTTGCTTTTACCTCCCAGGAACTCTGTGTGTGTGTGTGTGTGTGTGTGTGTGTGTGTGTGTGTGTGTGTGTGTATCCCCTACCTCTCCAAGGATATTCCCCCATCTGCAAACTGCCCCTGTATTTCGGCTAGGACTGCCTGGTTGTGTGCATCAGCCAGATGTTACCCAGCAGCATCTTCTCGGCCACCACTAGAAACCAAATTCTGGATTAAGATAGGCTTTGGCTAGAGTCAGATTAGATGGTCTCCTACTGTTATCTGGCCAAAGAGGATCAGGAGGAGGGAGGGAGGAAGTTCCCTCCACTGAAAAGCAACCTATTGCTGAGTTCCAGATGCTGAGCCTCTGAGCCTCTCTCGCCTCTCAGCTCCTCTTGACAATCACACAGAAGTATTTTCCATTCAGTGAATGTTAAATGGGGATTTGTCTGTATTTATGTTTGTGGAAGAACAGCATTTTAAAAAATTGTATAGAAAAAAAATGAAAAGATTGCTATGGAACAAAGCTTAAAATATACGCAAAGTTGCAGGTGTGTCTAGTTTAATGAAAAGAAGGACTAGGGGAGACATGATAGCAGTGTTCCAATATCTCAGGGGTTGCCACAAAGAAGAGGGAGTCAAGTTATTCTCCAAAGCACCTGAGGGCAGGACAAGAAGCAACAGGTGGAAACTAATCAAGGAGAGAAGCAACTTAGAACTAAGGAGAAATTTCCTGACAGTGAGAACAATTCATCCGTGGAACAACAACTTGCCTCCAGAAGTTGTGGATGCTCCAACGCTGGAAGTTTTTAAGAAGATGTTGGATAAACATTTATCTGAAGTGGTGTAGGGTTTCTTGCCTAAGCATGGGGTTGGACTAGAAGACCTCCAAGGTCCCTTCCAACTCTGTTATTCTATTCTATTCTAGGTATATTATAGAAGCTTTCTTGAGATCTGAGAAACAAATGTTCTTGACTTTGCTTTCTCACTCACAGATTGCAACTCCTGGCAATTGGCTACCTAAACAGGAAGATTTTTAAAAGGGCAGAAGTCCTGGCTGCACCAAGAGATGAGTTGGATCCACATTAGAGGAACCTTCCACTGAATTCCAGGGGTTCAAATCACCCTTGGAGTCATGCATCATTTTGAGCACCACACTTTAAAAAGGAGCAGGGATAAGCTGGCATGAGGAGACCCCCCCCCAGGAGCACAAAAATAATGGAAAGCAAGCCTTGGAAGGGGGCTTCAAGGGGGTGATGGTGTGCTTGGTTTGCAAAAGGGAAGACAGAGAGGAGAGAAACCTCTAAAGGGATTTTGAATGGGCGAGCAGGAGAAGGACCAAAAGGCAGGTTTTAAACTCCCATCCAAATGATGGACACGAGCCGGCCTGGGCAATGGAGGGGTGCCAGATTCTGCGACATCAGGTGCCTGAATGTTGAGGCTCAAGGAAAATAACTTATGTAGTTGGGAGCAGAAAGTGGCTGAAGCTGGTGCATTATGGGA